ACACTAGGATTTGAACTCTGGACCTGCCACTTGGGAGTTGACAACCTGACCACTTCACTAGGTCGCCACACCCCTACTTCTCTTTTTTGCTATTTTATCTACTCTAGTATTTTATTTATTATTACTATATTTCTTAACTTTACTTAATTCTAACTCTAACTCTTTTAATTTAAGTAATTTTATTATACTTTTTTTCAAGTTATGATTCTTTTTTTTGATCTATTGTCTGCTCCTTTTTAGCTTTTTTTCTTTTTTAAAACCTGATATTACTGCTGCACTATCTGTATAGATCTTAATTCTTTTTTTTTTGATGTTATTAAAATTACTAACCAAATAACTAATAGTTCTAATTTTGTTAATAAAATTATAAACTATTTACTTAAAATTTTATTAAACCAATTAATTTTTTTATTTTATAAAACTAAAAGTATTTTGTTTAAAAAAATATTTTTAATTAAAAGTTTAAAATTAGATAATATAATAAAAATTTTTGTAAATCAAATTTTTTTTTATCAATTAAAATTTTAAATTTTTTTAAAAATTAAATTAAATTCAAATATTTAATTTAAATATTTAATTATATTAAATCAAATTAAATTAAGGATATATTAATTTAATCAAATTCAACTTGATATAATATTTAATTTAATTTAGATTTGAGAAATTCTATTAAGAAACAAATACTAATATAAAGAAACTAAATAAGTAAAAACTTTTAAATAAAAGATATTACTATTAGACTGTTAAATTTAAATTAGAAAAAAATATTAGATTAAACTTAATATAATAAAAAAAGATTATTATCTTTCTAAGTTATTTGAATTAAAAGTTTAAAAACAAAACAATAATATACTAAAATACTAGAAATATGTTGTAAAATAGATACTAAATATAAATAAACTTTACAAAAACAAACTTTATTAATAATCTATAAAATAAATAGGTAATTAATAAAAAGAATTTTTTAAATCTTACTAACAAGTAATATATTTTGAAATATGTAGCAATCTAAGTATTAGTATAAAAAAAATACTATATTGCTTAAATAATATACTAATTAAATATATATAGAATTTTTACTATGATTTTTTTTTATTAAAAATAAATTTATTATGATTTTCTTAATTAAAATCATATATAATAATTTAAAAAGTCATTTTGTTAACAAAACTTTTATATAAAAGTTTGTAAATAGTTAAATAATTAACAGAATAAATAATTATAAAATTTAAATAAATAATCTCTTAGTAGATTACAGATATAATATCTAGTATAAAACTTTAGAATAAACTATTTAAATAAGCAACTAAAAGTTACATATATGACTAACTATACTTTTACCTCTGTAAAAATAATTGTAATAAATAATTTCAACATATAAAAATGCTTTTAGCAAAAAGTAGCTTTGGGCCAGCCAATCAAATTTTGAAATTTTATATAATATCTAATTAACTAATAAATATCTTTATAAAACTAAATTTTAATTGCTAAATATATTAATAAAAAAATATATAATTTGAATTAATTATTTTAATATTATATATGTAATAGTTATATACCAATTTTGGACATAATTTTCTCAAAATCATATGATTTTTCCAAAGCCACCTTTGCTATAGGTTCTTTCATATATTAATAAAATAACCACCATTAAGTATGACCTTTAAACAAATAATAATAATAATAATAATAATAATAATAAGTTTAACAATAATAAGTAATAATAAAGATTATCACATTATCATGACTCAAGAATTGACTTAAGAATTGAATTCTGATCAAAAGTCCTAATTGTAGATCTATCAAAAATGTAACCGCAGATCTATCAAAAATGAAACTTTTGCTCCTAATTTGGTATATTCCCGACTGATATCACCTGGGGTAAAATAAAATGATCGACAAAAATTAGATAACGATAATCATTTTTAATTATATAGTGGCAGATCCCTTGAAATTTAATGGACAAAATCTTCGTTGTTCGTGCGATTTCTTACATTGGATATTTATAATTTCAGGACAGAATAAAAGCTTATACCTTCTGAACATTAAAAATTATCATAATATTATTATAATCAAATTGATAAGACATAGCCTGGCATTTCAGACTTTGAGGACAAGCAATCTCAACAAAAGAACAAAGGTTTTAATTATACATTCAATCATAGCATTTCGAATTACTTTAGATCCTTGCTTCTTATCGGCAACCTTCAAATCGTATATATCATTATTATAGTTTTATCCCAATAATTTAAAGACTGCAACTGATATTCAGCAAGAAAAACCAAACAAAAGCAGAGAGAAAATTAAAGAGGAAGATTAAAAGTTAGATAAAAGTTAGATTATAGTAAATCAGTTAAGAAACATGGGGAATTGAAGACTCACAGTGAAAAGGTCAACGCCTTGAGAGAGGAAGTGACGATTCAAAATCTGATAGAGAAGGTAGGTGAATTGAGCCAATATCATGGTTGCTAAAATTTGTTTGCTGATATGATATTTTAAATTTATTTAGATGCGTCATTACCATTTCAGAAAATTAAATATGTGGAACATGCTTCTAATTCTCCGTGCATTTATCAATTTCTGAGCATGTTGCTTGACTACGTCTTGCAAAACATACACCAGGTCCAAACTCAATCAAAAGTAATCGTAAGAGAAAGAATCGGAACAAAATTTCTCAGAAAAAGAAAAGGAGGTAGAAAAGCAAAAAAAAACAAAAAATTAGCCCAGGGAGTAATTATTTAGATGTCAAGAATGATTCTACGTAGAGATGGTAATAGTATTCAGTATGTAAATTTGAATTTGATGATAATAAAAAAAACAGAAAAAATTAGATAATGTACAATTGATGAATAAAGTAATGTATTGATTCTATTCATTCATTCATTTGGCTTATAAGTGATAGTTAAAAAGTAAAGCGGAAAAGTTCGAGGAATTGAAAAAAGAAGATCCAGAGAATTGAAAATAATGGTTTTAATATTTATTAGTTGATTAAGCTGCAGAATTACGTGAAAATAAACATGGTCTAAAGCTCTACAAAAGGCAAAGAAATTAAAGACGACCCAAGTTAAAGAGAACTATTAAAAAGACAACTTTAAAAAGAAAAGTAGTGAAAAAATATGGTACGATCTTTGATTACTTATGATGTTTGATTTTTTTGCCAAGGACACGGTGTTCATCTATATTAATACTTTATTTATTCAGAAAGGACCGAATTAAAGCGGTTGACAAGACTCAAGCTGAACGGCAACAAAAAAGGACTGCAAACATTCAAGCTCGTATTGATGCAAAAAAATAAGGTACGCAATATTTCTTAAGGTACGTCAATTATGCACAACTTATTATCTTAATTAGCATACAATGTAGCATTTAAATTTTTGAATAAGATCCATATGCGTGACGCCAAGTCACGTGCTTATATTTATATAATGAAAAGTGATATGTATTCAGATTATAAAAATTGTATATAACGAAAGTGATAAATAAAATATATTATAACGAGGAATGTTAATATGATTATGTATATTTTGATTGTCTTAAAGAAAAACAACTTTATGTTAGGAGTCGATACTATTAATGCATCAATCAGATATTCATTATTCGTTTGACAATAAAGTTCATTTATGATTTCAAAGCTCACAAAACCTGCATGCCTATATAAAGACTAGGTCGCTATTTTTCGCCGAATTTAGCATAAGGTCATTTAATTCCGCAGTCATTGTTTTATCGTTTCACGGTAAAACGTCCGTTAACAAATTGAGTTTGATTCGCATTAGATGACCAAAATAAACATTAAACACTTATGCAGCAGGTGATACTAAATCGTGCATCTCGAGAATATTTGGCGTAAAAGTAAGACCCTGAATGAGGTGACAAAAGAACTAAAAGATGGTGATAAGACTGAATTGCAAATCAATAAACCAATTAGGTAGGATTTTGTAATGCTTTGACAATTGAATTGCAAACAATGGATACGTAAAGAATGGAAAACGTCACCACTATGCGACATGTGAGTAACCAGGAAGACACAGTATTTGTACACCATTCTTCTGTTCAAAGTTTTCTCAACGGCTTTCTTGGTCGAAACCTACCAAAAGTTCACCAGAAAAATAGATTAAAATCCCTCCACCATCCAACAGGTAGACTTTCTTTAACTTCTACTCATTCGATTCACAATGGGCTCTACGACTGCTTCTCCAGAGACAAGTCCAGCAAGGACTGACAAGGCTAGGTAAGTATTTATAACACTATACTTCTGTAAAGTGTTAAAATGATGCTATAACTTAAAACTTGAGATGATTAATATATTTATGTTTGGTAGAAAACCCGGAAGCGAAATTTATGTCCCTAAACAAAGACGTGGCTCAACTGGTGAAGAGTTATCTCCGGTTGGAGAGTCTGCTAATAACAACATTAATGACACTTCTGAGAATCAAGATAATGGTATCATTAGAAAAGGTCGAGGCAAATTTCGTGGTCCTGGTAGTGATACTCAACAAGACCAACAAAACTCTCGTACTCCAAGAGGTCGAGATTTTGATGCAACAGTTCTACGACAATATCCACCCAAAGGGGGGGAAAAACCTTCAAAAGGTCATGCTAAGAAAAAGTCAAAATCCGATAGCAGACGAAATAGCAACGGGCAACAAGGTTCTGAAAGTGGTGGATCCGGTAGTGAAAACAATGCTTCCGACGACGTCACCAAAATTACCAATTCACTTGAAAATGTTAATATCGGTGATAACGAAAATGATGGCAATCCCACCATTCAAATTAATGACACATCGGCAGCCTCTCAAGAAGGACAACAAAATGTTGAAGAGTGGGAAAAGAATGCTGCGAATGGAGAGATGAAAACTAAGGATGACGTCTCTAGTCCAGTCGCCAGTCCTGTAGATGGCGCTTCAAATCCGTTTGATTGGAGTACTAGACAGAAGGAAGGTCAAAAGACCGATAATCGTCCACCAGGCTTCAAAAAGGGTCATAAAAAAAGCAGAAGCAGCAAAACTGATTTTAATTTTGATCCAGGTATGTCTTATCGATTTAAAATTCTTGAGTCAATTAGTAATCCTTTAACATTGACTTATAACATCTATATAGATGCATACGAAGGATCAACTCGTATTCTTGATATCTTTGATTTTCCTGCATCCTTCAAGACGCATCATCTTCATGAAATTTTTCAAGAATACGAAAATATGCGTGGTGGCTACCGTATCAAATGGATGGAGGATACTCGTGCTTTAATTATCTTTGAACATCCTGCGACCGGTAATTGTTTGTGCACCTTCACAAATTGTTAATTCAGATATAAAATATTAATTTAATATATAAATTTATCTATAATTATTAGCACGTAAAGCATATTTGGATAATGTCACTAATCAACTTGCCACCATTAAACCATATGACGGCCCTACGGATTTCCTTCAAAAAAGTAAGTTAACAGACATTTTTGCTGTTTAATTTATCATATTGCTTACGCAATATTTATAGATCCTAATAATTCTCCGCAACGTATTCGTCCCGCAACTACCGATATGGTCGCCAAGCGTCTCGTCCATGGTGCCCTTGGTGTTCGCGTTGCTAGATCTCCTGAACAACGTCAAGTAGACAACCAGATCCTTAAAACAGCTAGAGGTATAAATCTTTATAATTAGTTTCACTTTTACTGATACATTCGGTAATTTAGGTTAATATTTATATTTGCGTTAGATCAACGGGACCAAAAACGCCATGAACAAATCAGGCGATCCCAAGATTTGGACGTTGCCTTCGATGAATAATCAAGAATAGCATTCATATTTGTTCTATCCCAAATGCATATATATAATATATATAATATGACCCAATTTTTGTTTGTTCAATTTTACGTATGAACTTCTAATAGAACTTTCGGAATACAAATGGAGGACGTAACATTAAATGATTTGACCACTGATAATTTCTTTTTAGTTTACCGTCACGATTCATTCATCCATTACTCATTTATTTATTATTATTAATTTTTTTTTTCTTCAAAGAAAAAAACAAAACGCTAGCGGATACCACCTCCTTCATAAGTCTTTCACACTATTTTCCCATTTTTTCTTTTTCTTCTCTTTCTTTTGCCCTCTGACTTTTCTTTGTATAATACATCTGACGATATCTCTCAAAACCTTCTTGAAACTTTTTTGGAACTTTTTTGTAAAAAATTATTTCACCACCATTGACATTGAAATGCATGTTATACTGGCGTAAAACACGGTTACATTGTGGTACGAATCTATGTTTCATAGCAAAATGGTATCGATAATGGAGCCTATGCGAAAGAAATAGATTTATTTGTTAAGAATAATATAGCGTACCGTGAAGCTACTCTAACTTTCTCTGAGTAGATATTTTTCATGAAAAATAAGGCCAAAGTGATGATGGCAACGAAAAGTACCAGTTTACTGAAAAACTGAAATGTAGGGTTCTAGAGTGAAACATCTTTAAATGAACAAAAGGCTTAAAAGATCTGAATTTAAAATAACTTAAAAAAATGAACTCACATCGTTTTTATATACGAAAACGGCATATAATAAAACAGGAAGTGACAGACAAATTGATCCCAAGAAAGCTAAAAAAAAAATTACCAAAGTCAATATATGATCCAACAAATAAATAAAATTGCGCCTACCTTCGTATTTGTAGCTGCGTCTTTGTAATTGATGCAAATTTTGTTTCAGTCTTTCTTCAAAAATTAGAAGATCTTTGTATCTTTGGTGGTTAGTGGGAAGGGGTGTAGATAGAGGTGCAGACATTTTGTGGTAACGAAGTTCCAACTTTCACTACTAAAGTTGCAACTTTTGTAGTATTAACGTAAGTCGTAATATAAGCAGCGGGTATTATGTTATAAGGTTGTAATAGAAGCGAGTATACATTATTGGGCAGACGAAAAATAACAGGAAATTTTTTTCGTCTGAATTGATGTCACCATAGTTGCCATAGTTGCCGTAACAAAATTGTCCTGGCAGATCCTCGATTTTGATTGGCTAACTCCGTGGATCTGCAAAATTTTGGCCCGCATTACATAATTGTTTACTAATTTCTGGCCGGAATTAACTTTTTTTAACTTTTTCATTCCAAAAATAGAAATTTTCAAATAGAACAACTTTGGGCCGTAACAAATTGTTTCGGCAGATTCTCGGTTTTGATTGGCTAAGAGCGACGATCAAAAACTTTGGCCGGAATTACTATATTTTACTAATGAAATCACAGTCGCAGCTAGGGTTAATGCCACATTTTTACAGGGGATCACCAAAATTCTGGGTCGAAATAATATAAAAAAAAAATGTCAAATTTGGTTAATATTTATTGAGAACTAGTTGTAATAGCTAATCTCAAATTACCAATAAAATATTGTTGCAAAGTATAATCTTTAATAATAATAATAAATTATTGAATAAAAAAATCATTTTATATTGTATTTGATTTTTTTTTTTAAATTACAATGAGGTTTGCTCATATCTTTATTAATTTGGTAAAGAAACATTTAGGGACTTTTCTGGATATAAATTACAAACTTATTTCAATTATAAATATATTACAAAAATGAAGTTCAGACTTTAGACAGGTTTTTATTTAATTTATTTATAATTTAAACTTATTAAAATAGTTAAAACTTATTTAGATTTGATATATTGTATATAATACAATTAAAAGATTAAAATATCATTTATTAATAATAAAATTAATATAATAATATATATTAAAACATTATTGGGAAAATTGTAATCCTAGTGTAGTGGTTGAATTGTTATTCTCTAAATAGCAGATTTAAGGTTCAAATTTTATCTATTGTTATAGGTGAAAGTCTTTTTAATTTTCACACTATAACGATGACATGGCACAGGGAATCCCTTACGGGTATATGCGGTGTCCAAGAGGGAAGTATA